TAATAATAATAATAATAATAATAAACCAGAATAAAATTTAGAGAGCAACACTCAGATACATTTTTCCCCTGGAATTTGGTTTTGTGGGAAATTATAGATTATCAGTTGTCTACAGGTTGTTGGGTCGATCGATAGGACAAAAACAAATATTAAAAAGAAAATGTTTCACAGTTTTAAACCCGCTGTTAATAAATTGTTTGTGCATCTATAAAAAACATAAATCTTCTTAGGTTATCACTTTTCAATCTTTGTCTGAATCCCAACACTTTTTAAAAATTATTATAATTATTTTTTATTATTATTTCATTTGTTTTCATTCTTAGAAAGAACAAAAGTCCATTAAAAAACAAAGTGAATTAAATACTGAATGAAAGGGTGTAGAAAAAGGAAAAAAAATGTCTTATATCTGCCCTGTTTTGAAATAAAGGTTTTCATGAATGAGCTCCACTGCACCAATTTATAAATTCAACTTTGAAGGACGCACAGCAAATACAGTGGTGTTAAATTAACACTACTGGTGTTAAATTAACACTACTGGTGTTAAATTAACACTACTGGTGTTGATTTAGCACGTTGCTTCATGTTGTTCATGCAGAACAGTTTTAGTGCAGCTCAGAAGCAGCAGGTTTACAGAAAATAAAGAAAAAAGACTTTTCTTCTTTAAACATGCAGCCTCTGCTTCCTAAGATGAAAACAAGAAGTTGCATGTTGTGTAAAGTTGATGAAACGAGCACAAAAGTGTAATTTACTGCACAGGTTTTGTTCATGAGAAATAAAAATCACCTCGTGTCAGATAATCAGTCAATATAAATGCGCTTTTATTGAGCTAAAACACTTTGGCTGATTTTGTTGCAAATAAAACTTCAGTCAAGCCACTTGATAACTACTTTATGCTGATCAAACTGAGTGAATAAAATCTAACAGAAAAGCTTTTCATCTGAATTTTGTGCTCATTTTGGTCAAATTTAAACTTTAAAAAAGGTAAAAAGTGAGCAGCTCAGGAGGATTTGCCACAACACTAAGCAAAGCTGGAGCAAAAGCAAAACGTTGATGAGCATGAATAATATTCATTCATTCATTTTGAATATGCACAAAAAAATCTAGCTAACATATATCTCCACAGCAAATGAAAAAGAGCGAGAGAAACTAAAAAGGAGGCTCCAAATTGTAAAAAAAAATAAATAAATAAAAAAAGTACAACCAAAAAGCAAATATAGTAGGCATAATCAAATAGGAGCGAGTAGAATTAGATCATTATTAGTATTAGATTATTATTAGTATTAGATTATTATTAGTATTAGATTATTAAAAATCATCACTCACTTGTTTTGTTATCATCACCTGAAAAAACAAAAGTGGGGAAAAAAACTTAAAGAAAATCTAAAAAAAAACAACAAAAGGTTCTGCTTTTTTGTTTATCTCTTTAAGCCCTCTGTTGAGGTCAAACTATTATCAAGCTAAAAGAAGAAAATGGCCGCCTTATCAGGATGAGGCGGTGCTGCAAAACCTGGTTGCCATGACAACACGACAGACCCACACTATTGCTATTTCAGTAAAAGAACCACAACTTCCTGCCTCACAACCAAAATGTCGAGCCGCCCAAAACTTACAAAAGTGTTCTTTCACTGGCTCGTGTTTTAAATACTTTAAAGACAAAACAAATATAAACATTGTTTCAATTAATATTTAAATTGTGCTTTACAAGTTTTAATGCTTTTAAAGTTTGTGTTTTTTAATTTTTTTACAACAGTTAAACACAACAAAAAGACTTAAAACAACATTTTTGCATTTTTTTGCCACATTGTTGACTCAACACACACATATTTAGCTGTTTTTCTTCTTTAGCTGCTGCTAGCAGAACAGAAATAAAGATTTGATGAAGCAGAGGGAGGCAGGATGTGGTTTGACACGTTGTTGTTTCACAGCGTCGAGCAGAGCTGCACGCTCGCTGCACTGACATTTTCACCACACACTTCAGCGTCTTTGTGTCTGTGAACTCATTCGGTTTCTGGGGGATAAAGTCGGGCCCACAATAATGTTTCGGCTGTGTGAAAACTTAGGGAATGCACAAAAGTTGATCAGTTGCCAGAAAATAAGCGAGGAACAAACAGCCTTCAGCACGAAGCTCAGATTTAATCAGGTTTAAAGCAGAGAATAATCAAAAACAGGTGAGAAATTAATCAGAACAATTGAAACACTTCCCTGTGATTTTTATTAGACAAACGGAATAACAGAAAAAAAAAACTCAGATCTTATAAATTATCATTAAGTGATGATAAAATTACTTAATAATCAAATTAGTCACAATTTTTCACAATAAAACCCATAAAATCTTTGACATTTATTACTTTTAAGTTACAATACTTGGGCAGCTTTTATCATTATCTTTATTTTATTAAAGTTTTTATTACGTTTAGAGAATTTAGTAAATATTTGTATAAACAGACATCAGAAAGACATCATCTTATTGATGAGAAAACTAAGTGTTTTTTGATATTCAGAAAAAAATGTTCACAAGAAACTCTATTTATTTAAGACAAACAAAATCTAAAGCTGTGTGCATCATTTTTATGGCCAAACCACAAACTACTTAGGAATAAATACATTTTATACCATTTATTATGAATCATTTACCCATTTACTGTAATAGAAAAAAGTGTCTTTAACATTTAGAATATTTTAAAAACCACAACAAAGCAAGAGATCTGTTATTAACTGTCATTACTATTGTGGTGTACAAGTTGACATGGTTCTGGGGATAATATGGGCCAAGGTAGACAAGCATAATTGGGCTTGGACCCCGGTCACAACTGCTTTGCAGTTCTAGTTACTGTTTAAGGATATACATTATCAGAAATGAAAGTTTAAGTAATTAGTTATCTATGTATTTTTTTATTTTCTAGCAGAACTTCCACAGAGGAGTTTGTGTTGTTTTTTTATAAATCATTTWAATGATTTATTAAAAGGCTGAATTACAACGTTATTTCTTCAAACCTCGAGGTAAAGTAAGGTCAGAAATTAAAACACTGAAAACTAAGCACTTACTCTTCTTTTTTAATGTTTGTGTTCTTACGTTTCTTTTTTGTTTACAACCATTTTTAAGACTTTCTTTACTTWGTTTCACTGCACACAGAGGTAAGGTGTGACATGAGGGTGTTGTGTTTCTCACTCTTACATCAGCCCGTTCACGTTTTATTCTGAAGCCACAGAGAGAGAGAGAGAGAGAAAAAACAGAAGTTGAGAAAGATGAAGAGGAGAAAACTTAACTTTTTATTTTTAAATGTTTGGAACTACAGTTTCATGAGAAACTAAAACTGAATTGTTTGATTTCRTTCAGTTCACTGATGAAATGATGCAGATGTGTCTCACGTGTTTATCAGTAGTATCAGTAGCATCTGYAGGAGTTTAACTTTTTAATCTTCTTATCCCCCCTCAACTATGAAGAGCCCACCCCCCGAGGAAACTGCATTAATTAAGCCATCTGACCTCAGTTCTTCATTTTTAGGCAGTTCCTGTTACGTGTCACGACATTTCAAGTCACTTTTTTTAACTCTGTCTTGTCTGCTCGGTTTGACTGTGCCAGGAAGTGAAGGCAGCTCAGAGTGGAACACGGAAGCGGCCGCAGCTCTGTCCTGCGACGAGCAGCGAGTGGCGCACTTTTTTAGCCTACTGCGTGACGTTGAAGACGRGCGGAGGCCGCGTGGCCAATCCAACGAGACCGGCTTTAAATTAGTCCGAATAATTGTAAAAAAAAAAAGACGAATTAAAAGAAAAAGCAGAACAAGAACAACATGGAGCAAAGTTTTACATCTCAAAACAGAATCGATATAATTTTATTC